TACAGATTTTGCAAGCTGACGGTTACCAGCGGAAAATATACAATCTCATCGTGATATATGACCAAGAGTTTCTAATTTGAGCCGACTGCCTCATGTACGAAATTCTTAATTGCATAGTGTACTCCTTTTTGTTCATATCTGGTCTGTACTTTGCTGGTGGAAAGTTCCCAAGGTAAGTATCTTTGAATAAGTTCACTGGTCGCTTTTAGAGACCATCCAGAAACAATCAAGAAAAGGGTTATCTCCGTCTTTGTGACAAGTACTATTTCGATGCTTCATGTGTTGACGTTCATACGTTCCCATGATCATCCTCTGGTTAGTGCATTTTCAATATTAATTTCTTCTAGTTTCAGTTATCTTCATATGAGTTTGGGAAACTATTTATTAGATTGGATGGCTTGCTAGAAGCTGTTATTATATCTGTCATGCTCACTTTGGTTTGTTGTTATTGTTTCTGATATACAAAATCAGGTCATGTACTTTGGAGTTATCTTGGATGATGTCTGTAGTGGAAATATGTCAATCATACTTGGTAACGATTACTATTGTTTCTGTGCGTCTTAGGTTTTCTATATTTCTATGTTTTATATCATACTTCTATGGACACGATATTTCATATAGCGAAACCAGCATGTATATAAAAACTCAAAGAATCTAAGTATCCTACTGTATTGATAAATTTAGAAAAGTACCTAAGGATCGGAGTTACAGTTTAAAAACATTTTTATGCATATGGTAGGACGGTGGTACTTCGAGGTATATATCTCCGCAATGAGTGAATTTCTGATGACTTTGTGAGCTCTTTTTTCAGGTGTTGTACACATTTTTTGAAACTCAGTCTACTCAAATTTTAATACTTGAAATTGGGTGGATTATTTTTGGGAAAGTAAAAAAATATTTTCACAAAAGTTTATAAACATAAACCCTCTAGCCAAATGCTTTATTGTAACTTCATTTTAAACTCAAAATCACAATTTTCATATATTCACCATATGTACATCATCTAATGTTTGAATCTAGGAAAAACGTTTTCTCTTAAAGTTACCGAATTTAAGGTTTCCACATGTTTGCGATACATCAAAACGCAATTTAGTGACAGCAGTACCCTAACCTTTAAAACAGACAGTTTTTGTAATGTCTAGTTCTTTTTATACTGTAACAAAAAGCTGGCAGTGGCATCCAGGACGTGCGTTTCGTTCCATTCGGGACTGGAATCCGCATTCCTGAGTTGATGTTCACTCCGGGACTCGAACCCAGTCGTTTGTTGAAAACACCATCACATTATCCATTTAGTTACTAAGTCCGGTTGGCCATTCACTTGTGATACGGGTATGAGATTTAATTCAGCTTGAAACTGTTTTGGACTGTCCCGTTGATATTTTGGCTGAAATTCGATCAGTCTTAGTAGATTAACATCGAGGAGTGACCAGATTTCAGTCAAAATATCAACAACGGGATGATCCAAAACTGTTTTGAATTGAATTAAAAATGGTGTAGTACTATTCATTTCTACATATGTTATCAACATTTAGTCCCAATAATCACTAGACATATTGATATTATCATGTCTGACATAAAGCCAACATAACGTCCGATCCCCAGTTCGAGACCCACTTAATCTATTCTGACTGGACCAGTCCAAAGGTTTTTCCTTTTCCCAATACAAATGTACTTCACTATGCCACTAAAGGTTTCGATTATCGTGTTTTAGTGTGTACATATGAAAATATCTAGGTTTATCCAACGAATCCTCAGACAATATGTTATGGTGTTACGTCATTTACAAGTTAACTGACTACCCTCCATGCAGGCTTTACTAAGCCATCTAGTCTATCAGGTCCTTTTAAAGAAATTAAACGAACTGCAACATTGGGATTGTAAACCTCGGCAAGTCCAAGTTAGTTCTGGTAACTAAGAAGTAAAGGAAATGAAAGGAATTATCCAAAATATTCATTGTGTATATTTGACCGAAAGTAAGGCACATATTGTAACTTCTATTTTCCCAATGTTTATTTTTGACCAAACCAAGATTAGTATAGAAAAATCTTTCACTTCATAGGTTCAAAAGCCTCTATCATCAGAACTTCACTGATCGTTAGTTTGGTGACTTAAAAACTAAAGTCCTTTAGAATTCGGAGTTATGGAGACTCCGTGATCATGTAGCTCAAAGTTGGGAAGGGCGGAGAATGAATATATTTGTAAGCAATTTTAAAGCTCCTATTAGAAAAACGAAAGAAGTTCGCCGAAACGATATCCTTGAAATTCGTTTTTCTCTAGTTTTACCTTAATGAATGAATTCATGCTTCAGTCGATAACCTATTATTATACTACTATAAGTAAAATTTAACTGATATCAATAATAATTATAAAACATTTCAAGCAATTTACGCGTGTATAACAAAAGCTGCTGTAAAATTAACTGGCAAAAAAATATATTATGTAATGCACCACAAAATAGCAGCATGTTTGCTAAAACTTGTGACTGAATAGATTCCCTGTGTACATAGTAGTCAGGTTGTACAATATAACCACCAGACCATCTGATGTTTTAAGCAGTTAAAATAAAAACACTTCAAGATCAATCTGCTTACCGGTTTTGCCGGAAATACTTTAGCAAATTTAGGATATTTGCCCCTTAGCACAGGGAATATTTTCATTTTTCAATTATAAACACCTTATGAACTATATAAAATGTAAATCAAATCATTTTGTAATCTTCCAAACTATGCAAGTTATCATTACAGTTACTATGATTCCTGGCTATATACAGTTATTTACAACTTAGTACTTCAGATTGACGTAAAAATGCACAGTTTAAAAATAAATCCATCTAATTAATGTGAAATCATGTACACAAACTTATTGCCATCTCATCGGTCGAGATAAATGGTTAGACTTTATAATCAGGAGTTTGCCTAAATATACTTTATGTTGTTCCATACAAAGCAACCAGTTTGACATACGAGTAAATTAGCACATTTATTTTACTTATTTAAGCACATAATTATTAGTATATAAAGGTGCCTAAATATTCATGTGCTACATAGATTACTGAATTTGTATGTAGGCTATGTATAATGTAGAGTACCCAAACCGAAGCAGGTGGTTTTATTAGGCTTCCACACTTCAGACCTTTGACCCAAAGTTCCAATCCTCTAGCCAGCGCAGAAACATCTGAAGATGCAGTCTAATGGTAGCTGATGACCAACATTAGGTTCATACGCGACCGGTCACGCCAGGATCCTGGAGTCTATCTGCACCATCGGTCTCAAATCAGGATTTTCTAACTCCCATAGGTGGATTTCTTGTACTTATTAACCGGGTTTAAGTGCTGTACATTGGCTTTTTTCTTCTTAGTTTGGTAAACCACTTGTGTCACAGGGCATGGAGTAGGATCTCCGTAATAGTGGTTATACATGCGTATTCATGTAAGAGCATTTACGGAGGAAGTACAGGTTATACTCATTTTCGGTCGAACCAGGGTAGTTGTGGACAAAGTTGACATGTATTCAAATACAATGTATCATTTTTTAAAATCTGCACACGTGAAATTGTATACACAATTTTAATGACACCAAAAGCTCTAAATACAACGCTTGTCGTGTGCTTATCTCAGCTTTGCTGAAATCCTCACAATTGTCTAGTAATGTACTACATATAGATATAAATTCCAAATATGCTAAAATAAGTTTTTGTTTATACTGTAAATTGTTGAGATTGCCAATTGGTTATTGTGAGGCCGCCATCATAATCCTGGAAACACTGGACGGTGGTTTTTTCCCTGTATGGGCCTCATCAACAGTGCATATCGACGACCCCCGCTTGCGGGAATCAAACCCTGGACCACTAACAGGGTTGAACTCCACTGATCACGGCTTCTCACCAAGACTACGAGAACTTTCTCAGTGAACACATTTTATGATTTTCACTATAGAGTTATGGAGATTCATAGTTTCAATTAAACTCAACAATCTCCATAATTCTATGATGAAAAACTAAAAGTTATACCAAAAATGCAAACTTCATGATCAGAAACTCGCGTGATCTTGAAATCGTTGCGAAGAAATTCTAAACTTTCGAATTCCATATTCTTCTGTTGCTATGTCTGATTATCTTATATATATATACATCAGATCCTTCATCGACTTTGAATTTGTTACTTATAGATGTCCAACACTGGAAGGATCGTATATTCAATTGGATAAGTTTGAGAAACTTTGTCATAGCTCCTGTGGCTGAAGAACTTATCTTCCGTGCATGCATCACATTTAATCTACTTCCCTTGTTTTCATCGTGCGTTATGCTTTGTTTCGTTAGTTCGTTATTTTTCTCTTTAGGTAGGTTTTTTTTTAAAAGGTGTATAAATAGAACTTGTTTTGATTCAACTTATTTCCCGATTAT